CCATCCCAGACAAAACCAGGACACTTGATAACACTTCTGTGCACATGACAGCCACAACTAGGTAATTTATTATTATTATTTTTGTGGTGGTGTGAAGTTTACTGCTTAGTAGGGTGGGACAAAACAGCAGTTGCTTGGTTCATTTGCAATCTAAAGCATATTTAAATCCCAATTTTATATGTTCTGCACCATTTTGTCCTCCTAGTGCTGGCAACATCTGGAACCCAATGAAATGCTGAACCAGCATTGCATTGCCCAGGACTGCCAGCTGGCTGCTGGCATCAGCACTACTCAGAGTGTCTTTAAAATGAGATATTTTGCATCAGGATATAGTCCCCAAGTAGCAACTCCCCTCCAAACCCACAGTCTGGGATGCCCAGTTCTTCTAAGCAATGTGTTAAAGCAATTCAGCAATCATTACTATTATTTTTAAAGTGGAATTCAAGCTGAACATTTTGGGTTGGATGGAGGGGAGCTAAATGACAGCAGAGGTAAATTTTAAAATAAAAGTTTCATTTCAGTGGCAGTGGAAAGCTTCATTTTGAAAACCTCACAATGAAATAACGCTTTGGTTTTGTTATTTCCTCAAGCAAAGAAATATGCAGCAATCCACACAAAAGCTCAAGGGTTTCCATTGCCCTAAAATTACAGTTCTGAGCTGGGACAAGAAAAGACAAATTCCAGGTATTCTTCAGCAGTAATATAGCAAGGAACACCAGGTAGCGCAGTGTGAGCCCGAGAATCACCTGGGACACCATTTCAGAGTGAGTGGAACATGGGGTTTCACTTTTCTGGTCTTCTCTCAGGTCACCACGTGGGGCCTGGCAGTCAGAGGGAGGAGCAGATGTCCAAGGCCACGTTCCGGGTCTGTGTCTGCAGCAATCAGGGATGTTTGACCCTGTGATTCCCATGTGCAGTTGGGTGCTCACCCTGGGAGGGGATTTGCTGCTGGCTGGTGTTCACACACATGGTTATGAGATGAGTGTATCTGAACACGGGCCTTCGTGGTTCCAGACGTTACTAATTTGGGATTATTGTCTACAAATAGTTGTGGCTTGGGGGCCTTTGTGGCTGTCGCCATTTGGGTTATGATTTTTGTTAGTCATCACTCAGCTCTGATAAATCTACATAAGAAAAAGATCATCTTACTAAAGCTGATAAGAAATTAGACCCTCTCGTGTTCAAAGACAGCTGACATCTTGTTCCAGGCACGGATGAATAGGGCTGACGGTGGAATAAAAAGTTATTTGCCTTAACCAAACTCTCTTTATACGGGAAAATATAATTCACAAAGAATATGTAGCAGATTGCTCCGAGTAACCATAAAACTAGATGGTTGGCAAACACTTATCTGAACAGCTTATCCTCACACTGTTTCCATTACTCTCCCTGGTTAGGCAAGAAATCCCAGGAGCCAACATGTTCTCTGGGAAAAACTCAAGGCCCTAACCCAAATGTCAGTAGCAATCATATAGATGTAGAGCTGGCTGCCTTTTGGTAAATGCTGATGCCTTTCCAGAGTTGCTGGTTTGGCTTCTTTTTGAAATAAATAAAAATATAAATAAATATAAAGGAGGGTAACTCACTTGCAAAAAGCTGAGATACTGTTCTTTAAGATGATACATTTTGGCAAAATTTGCTTTAATTTTAATTGTTGAAGAAAACCAGAAAGTGTATTTTTTTTTTTCCTGAAATCTGCTGCCACTTCTTGGTGCTGTTTCTGCCTGGCAGAAGGAGAAGCAGCACAGGAAGGCAGACTTGCACCTAATATTATTAATTTTTGTGTTCTTGCAGGTATCAGGCAGAACATAACCCAACATTCACCTCAGTGAAGAGGTTCATATTGTATCCTCTGGGTCTTTTTGCATGTTGCGTTTTGAAAACCGAATGATGGATTGTACGTTCACACCAAGGTTACTGAGCTATTCCACAGTGCCTTAGGAAAGTCTGAGAATTCCTCTTACACCTCCTCCAGCAGCACATTTCTTTTATGACCAATGACACGAGTGATGGACTGAAGTTCACCTTCACAGAGGTTGGAGCAAGGTGTGATGTGTCTCCCCCATCCTGCCTGGGTGACAGCGGGGCCCGGTGCCTCTAGGTGCAGTTTATCCTTGTGCCACTTCTGAGCCTGAATTTCACATCAAGAATTCACACCTCTTTTTTTGGTTTTTTTTTTTTTTTTTTAAATCAAATAAACTGGGTTGAAAAGTTTAAAAAAGAAAATATTCCTTTTAAAGGCTTTTTGAGTTTGTCAAAAATTTGTCAAAAACCAGTATTTAACTGCTTGGGGGGTTCTCCCCCATTTGGTATTTCTCTGAACTTAAGCTTTTCTGGTTGAGACAGAAAAAGAAAAAGAAAAAAATAATTAAAGAGATTGAAAGCCTACTCTTTCAGTGGTTTACAAGTTGGTATTTTCCATTATATTGAAAACCAATAAATGTAAAGTTATTTTTACTCCCTCCTGGAATAAATCCATTTTCAAAAGCTTGGCTGGCAAAACCCAACAAGTCAATTTGCACCTAAAATCTTTCACTCGCTCACTTTCATTCCACTTTGAGAACTGCAGGAGAAACTCAAGGTTGCCTGATGTGTGAGTGGTTTTTTGGTGTTGCTTGTTGTTGCAGAATATGAAGCATAGAAGGCCCATGACTGAGGCTCCCTTTTCCCTTTCCTAACTGTATTATGTTGTCATTTGGCTGCACAGCAGGGATTGAAAACTCTCCTCCTTTGAATTACTGGCATGTCAGTAACTCACTTACCACATGCTGCTTTCTGAAGGAAAAACACCCTCCCAAACCCATCAAAGTGTACGTTTTCCTTGATACGGACAACATTTCCTACCCCTTATTTCAGTGACAGATTAAGTCATTTGTGCAATGACCTCTGACACGAGCATTAATACCTTGGTCCTGGATTTCCATACTGTTTGCTCACTTTGCCACCGGTGTTGGTGACAGTGTGCAAATATCTTGATGCATTAGAGAGCATCTGAGCCACGCAGGACTGCTTCTTCTGACCTCCTTCCTTCCAGTTTGTTCCTTTAAAAACATCTTTCCCTGTGCTACCAGACAAGCCTGGCCAGGTTTTGTTCCAGCTGTGAAGCAGCTTGGATAGGGGACAGCTGGAAGATTGGAAGTCACAGGGCAAAGTGTGCCCAGCGTGAATTTGCCCATCACAGGATTGAAACAACGTCTGTAAATCACAGTCACTTTTAATTAGCTCCTGAAAAATAAAATCCTGGGCATTAGGTCTCCTGGAGGGAGCTGTACCTCCCACAGCAAAACAGCAACATGCCCCCTTTCCCTCTGCCAAAGTAAAAAGGAAAAGGACGATACTCCTGAAAGCCCCACACAGTGCAAAGGAAGCTGCACATCTCCTCACATCCAGCAACCACACAGAGATCCACACTGACTGGAAGAAGGGCTCCACTGTTTCTTCCCTCATTTATTCTCCAGAGAGATGTTGTTAAAAATATTTTGCTTTTGATGTATCTGCATAGATTACAGGCAGAGAAGCTGCTGACCACAGGGGGATACACACAGAGCTTGCCTCTTAACTGCTGGCCCTGAGTCTGTTCCAGAGCCACAAAGCTGTGCAGTCCAGAGCTGAACTCGGGGCGAGCAGTTCAAACAAATCCCAAATCTCCAAGCTGCGCTCGGTCAAACTGCTCGGCTCACCTTCCATATCAAAAGCATACATAATTACACGAGCCCTGATGTACTCAGAAGGATGGTGAACTTCAGCCTTCACCTGGAGATGATTCTCCTTTGCTTAGATCTGCTTGGGAATGACATGATTGATTTTTTTTTTTTTTTAAGGAGCATTAAAAAAGCAGTGACTGCATGGAGCTGTTATTGCAAACAGGTTCACATATCAGCATTTCCTGAAGAACCACTTGTATTGCTTTTCTGCTGCTCAGTACTACAATTTGTACAATTTGCAAAATGAAAGCTGTTATCATTCAGAAAACTAAAATCCTTTTGGCCATGTGCCATGCAACACCATTCACCTACTAAAATTAGCAGTAGCTCCTTCCTAAGGAAGTTTTCAGAAGGGAAACAAAAATACTTAGAAATGTTTTCCCATGAAACCTGCTGTGCAGCCACAGACCTGCACTTCTAATGTATAGCAGACCTCAAACCACACTGGGATCCAAACTATAGTCTCAAATGTTGCTGGAAACACTTCTTGCAGCCTGATGTGGAACACAAATACTGTCTTGAAAGACAAGGTACAGCCGTGTATCCTTTAGCTACAAGACAGAATTCCCTCCTACAAAAGGTACCTGAATGAAGGGGAAGCAGTGTCAGATCCTGCTGAACCCACAGGGATGCAGATAACCTTGGTGTGGACACTGAGAGGGTTTTTGGGCAAGTTACTTGACCTCTCCACCTTTCCTTGTGTTAAAATAAGGTGTGCAAGCCTGAGGTCCTTCTGTAAAGCACTGCATTGAAACAGTGACTTCAAAATTAAGGTCAAAAGAAAGTAACTTCACTGGGCTTTGCGTATATTTCAACTTATGAAATAAATATTTTGCTAACCTGAGGTTGAAGTAATTTTCCTTATGTCAAATATATATTTCTTTTGAAGGAAGTGGTTTATAAAGCATTCTGGCTGCAGGGGAGGAGAAATATGTGCATGTGCAGAGCTGTCTTACTGCTGCTCTGGTACCTCTGCAGCACTTGGTAGCCTTTGCTGGGGCAAATACTCTTTTACTGGGTTTGGTCAGGCCTCTTGTTAGCAGTAGGAATACTTGAGGTGAAATGACACAACAGGTTTGGTGTAATTCAGGGTTCCTCAAGTGAGTGTTTGTTTACTGTGTAAGGACAGTCAATAAATATTTGCATCAGAGTTGTCACTGACTGTGGGATGTCAGAATAAAAGCACCCAAAATCCATCTGTCTTGGAGAGAGGTGCCCAAGCCTCTCATGAGGACAGACAGGCAAGTCTCCAAACACATCCCAGTCAAGCCCAGGCAGCCTGAGGAATACATACCTTCAGGCACGGGGCTGTGACATATGGCAAACACTGAGCTGTGACAGCAGCGAGGTGTTTGGGAGAAGGCACATGACACAGCTCACAGCCAGAAACAAGGATGAAGCCGTGCAGGCGTCGGTCAACACGGATTCCACACGCTCCAGCTGGTACAGAACCACAGCCAGGCTATCCCACAGTGCTGAGCACAGCCAGCACCTGGCCTGCAGCACTACCAGAAAAACCCACGGATAAAAGCCGAGGAGCAGCCTTTCCCAACTGCCCGCCGTGCATGAACAAAGTATTACATTAGATTTCGATTTTTTTTTAAGAAATGTGATATTAGATTTTCTCATATAAAGGATAGAAATAACACAGAACACCCAAAGCTGTAACCCCCCCCCCCCCAGATTTTACCTTTCATTTCCTGGCTGAAGCACAGCCTGGGTAAGAGCAGAGCCTCCAAAACACACCTCTCAGCACAATCTTGGCAGCCTCTCCTTGCAAGCAGGTCCTGCCCTCAGCCAGGTCCCAGCTCACCCAGCCAGGGGCCTGGCCAACTGTGACTGGAGCTCCTGCAGAGCTTTTCCCACTAGGCTTTCTAATTAAAACTGAAAGAAAGAGAAGACTAATTCAGCAATAGCAGAACAGCCCAGACGAAACACTGCTCACAGAGCAGAGATGCTGAGCACGTGTTTGTGCTCTTGGCCCCACACACCCCTGAGCTTGCCTTGCTGCTGCAGGGCTGCTTCAGCCTGTGGGGCTGGGGGGGTGGTGTAAGATCCTCAGGCCATTTGGCAGAGAAATCTCCATGCCCCAGTTTCCCCACCTGTGAAAAAACCCCAATATTTTTCCTGTAACAGCTGTGAAAATCCAAGCAGGAAAGGAGAAAAGGTGCTTGGCTTCAATAACACAATCAATGCAGCAATGCCCAAGTAAAACTCCTTCCATGCCTATCCTGCAATGCTGTCCATGGCTGGACTCATCCCCAGATGATGGGAGCCTTAAAAAAACAGGCAGCTACTGCTGGTCCTAAGGCTCAGATCAGTGGTCCCATTCCCACCACGCTCCTCACCCAAAGCCTGAGCTGATTGTGACTCCACCACTGAAGCACCCCACGGGGCACTGAGGTTGTTGAAAGGCCAAGGGTTTGGTGTTAAACACTGCCTGGTGGGTCTGACATGGCTGTGCCACCTTCTGCCACACTGGCAGAGGGCTGAGTGTGGCTCTCCCTGTGATTATAAAATTCCTGTGTTCTCCACAGCCTTGTTTGGCTGTATGGAGTGTGCATCTCTTCTGAAGAGCATCCAGGTAAGATGCCTCAGGGCAAATATGGAAGCACAGAGGAACATTGGTAGAAAAAAAGCCAAGTGTCAGTTCAGAGGAATTATAAGGGATGTGAGGATTTCAACAGAGAGCAATTCAGCCTGGATATACCCACCCTCTGAGGAACAGAGAATATTGGCAATGGTGCAGCAGCTGTAACTCTAAACCAGGCTCATGCTGACATCTCCGTGATGGCAACAGACCTGCCCTCATCATGCTGCCCAACATCCCTCCATCCATCCCTCTCTCCATGCCCATCCCCAGCCTCTGAAGCCCAAACTCCAGCCCCATCTGGATTTAACATGGCACTGCTGTGATCTGCTGAAGTGCTGAATTACAGTTGCCTAAAGCCTGGGGTCTGCTGAGCCAGGCCCTGCACACTCCCACTTTTCCTCTTTTAACACCTGAAAGAAAATGGCTCAGGCAATGCCTTCTCTAAATGGAGCAGGCACATTACTGTGTTTGGTATAGGGTGAACAAAAGTGGCTAAAATGGAAGGTCTGACAGTTTTTCTATCACAAACTGTATCATCAGAGTTTCACTTCTCAGCTGCAAACAGCTGTAGGCTGGGACTTGGCAACAGGATGTCCGACAAAAAGCGCATTTTTATTTTCTGAACCTTTATTTTGTTGGTGCCCATTCCTGGATTCTGCACACACAAATGTTGGGCTACTGTTAGAGGTGCTTTTGCCGTCCTTATGGGATGGAGGAGACAAGACAGCCTGTGTTTAAAGGTGAACTTAGTAGTGCAGGCTCGTGGCTGACCCCTTGATGATTTTAACATAGCTTTAGGAGTGTGAAAATAGAGCTATGGGCTAAACCTATAGTGCCAATGGAAAAGAGCAATGAGATCCCCCTCAATGTGCTACAGACACACGGTGGTTGGATGTGACATGTTTTTCTCTTTGTCTTTGTTAAACTGACAAGCTGTTCTGTGGAAATAAACACACCCAGCACAGTCGTCTGTCTGTCCAGGGCGCTGAACTTCCCAGCAGGATTCTCAGCTGCTCTGGTACCTGCAAAAATCTGATGTGTGAAATTGTGGGTGGGAGGCAAGTGTGGGGAAAGAAAAAAAAAAAGGCTTATGGCAGAAAGCACCAAGGCAAATCGTGTTACGGACTTTGTTGTTATTCTCACTCTGGACTATCTCTGTCCTCTAGTGGAAAATCTCTCCCTCAAAACTGGATGTGAGCCTGACCCTGAATAGCTCCTTGCTTTTCTGTATCATATGTTTTTTCCTCTCCCTTTTACTGTCAGAGGGGATTCTTTGATGCTCTTTCTCCTACAGAGTCTGTTTTCCAGTTGCTATGGCTGTGAACAGCCAGAGAAGCAGCATTCCCAGGAACCAGAGAAAAATGTGGTTGGTGATAGCTTAGCACAGTGTTTCAAATATCAATTGTCCTGACTAACAGATCACACAGGCTCTGACATAAAGTTCAGGTCTCGGCATTCAAGCCTGGCTGCAAAGAGTAAGAATTTGGTAAAAGGACAGATTTTCCTCCAGGATTACCCCAGCCTGTCCAGGCTGGTGAGAAATCTGCAGTCAACTGGAGGAGTTCGTCACGGTCAAAATTAAAAAGCAAAACATCACGAAAGATGGAGATTCTAGCAGATCTTTGCTTGTCCCTGGCAATTTCTTTGATGTTGTTCCAGGAGGTGTGGTGGGCTGTTCTGCCCAAATGTACATTTGTCAGGAGCTTAAACCACCTTCGAGAGCCCTGTACGAGACCTGGAGGTTGTTCCCTGGCAGGAGATTCAGCGCTGGGATGGATTTTCTCATGGAAGTTCAGTTTGATGTTAAACACCTGACTTGAAGGTGTTTAACCTTGAGTCTGGGGACTTTTGAGAGCTGTGACCAAAAGCTGCCAAAAGAAGAGAAAAAAAAGAGACACCCAGGAGGTGCCCACAAGGGGTGTTACACTGCAGCCTTGGGAACATGAGAAGTGGCAGTTGGGAATGGATATTTTACATCCAATTCCTTGTTCCTGAAGGTAAAGGATGATGAAAGGCATTTCCCTAAGGCAGAAAGAACTTACTTGTGTACCAGTTTAACCTAACTCCCAACTGTGGAAGCTTGGGGCAATCCAACAGCCCTTGCTATTTTATATTTTCCCCTTCAGTATGATCAAGCTGTACTGAAGACAAATGGAACTTTTTAGTCTAATAGTGCATTCACTGGAAAACATTTATTTACTTCAGTTGAAACACTCCACAAGCCCCTGTCAAATTCCTTTGTTAGAAAACAGCACAAAACAATCGAAGGAAGAGTCCCTACTTTCTCAAAACAAATCACCCTGACCTGCTGATCTGAAACCAGTTCATCTTGAGGTTCACCTAGCTTTTATTTCAGAAGATAGAAAGGCCATCTCATTCCCAAATTCCGTAAACTTTGAGTTTAAACCAAACCAAAAAGCATCTATTTGTGCACTTGTGCATTAGATGCTCTTGGCACCTGTCAGCTTCTCCATTTCAATCTACATCTTATTACATTTTCAGTCTTGACACTGCCCTGCAGTGACAAGTTCCACAGATGAATTGCCACATGGTAAGAAAGGATTTTCCTCCCTCCCTCCCAACTAAGAGCCTGCCTTGAACTTCAAACTGGTTTCCTTATGTGTATTTAAATAAATAGCAAGCTTGCAAGGGAATATACACACTCATCACTTAGCTCAAGGTTCATAATAAGCATGTAGGAGCTCAGACTTACTTGGTTCCGTGGGTCTGTGCTTTAGATAGCTGGAAAAACTTCTGATTACTTTCTGTTCCCAGAACTTGAAGTGTAAACCTCGGGTCCATCTCAGAGCCTCAGTATGAAGCAGGGAACACATCCAGCTGACCCACAAAAATCCTTTCTCGGGCCACTGCATTGTGCTGAAAAGGGGAAATATTTGTGAACAGTAAACAGCAGCTCAGAAATAATTATTTTCTAATGGTACCTGCTCTAGTTGGGTCATTTTCTGCTCATTTCCTTCTGCTGTGTCAATGCCTCTGATCCTCCACCGTCTGGTTTCGACGTGGGGAGCAGCAGGCATCTTACACATCCATTTGTGCAGGGCTGAATTTGGATGTCAGCAATTTGTTATGGATACCTCCTGCTGCATGATAGGGATGTTTTCTGCAGAGTGACAGCTGAGTAATCTCTCCCTGCATGTACAGCAGATTAAAAAACCTGAAAATCCCCTGTCCCTACAGACTGCCAGGCAAACAAGCACAAGGAGACAACAATCAGCTGGGGCTCTAGAGATAAACTAAATAATTACCTGGTGCTTATTAGCAGCTTATTAACACAAATCTAATTTTATCACTGCAGGTAGAATTCTGCATGAAAATGTTTGATGAGCAATGACAAAGGTTTCACTCCTTCCCACACAGCCTGCAACACCCTTGAGAGAGCAGAGTAGTAAAATCACAAAACTCCTGGCGTGTGAAAGGGTAAAAGATTACCGTTGGAAGCACCTAAAAAGAAGGGAATTGGTCCTATAAATGTACAGACATTTGCTTCCAGAAGGCCAAAGTTAAGCATTCACTCTATGAAGCCAGAACAAACATAGTATTGCTGAGATTTTCTTTTGCATTAAATGATATATATATATATATATAGATATAGATATAGATACATATATATAGAGAGAGAGGTGTATATATATTTTTCTTTTGAAGTTACAAGAATAATTTCCCATCTTCAGTTATTTAGGAAGAAATGATCTCTGTGACTCAGGACAGAAGGGCTGCCTGCTTTTTAATAATCACATCTTTTGGGTTGAACCTGAAAGCAGCAGCAGCCAGAGCTGAGGCTCAGCAGAAGCTGACCCAGGCCACCCCTTCCTCACTTCCCCACATCACCATGACTTCCAGGCAGAAGGAAGCAAAGCAGTTTCTTTTCTTTTTTTCTTTAGTGCAAACAGGTAAAATATTTAAGCTTTGAAATAACTAATTACCCTCCCTATGAACTCTCCCAAGGACAGTTTTAAAGAAAAGACGGAAGATTGCTGATAAATGCATATGCTTTTGGGTAAGAAGGAAAGCAGTGAGGATTTGAGGAGCAGTGAGGACGGCAGCGTGCCAGGCAGTGTCATGTCCCTGCCACCTTGTGACAAGGCGCTACAACTGCAAAGCCCCAAAGCCGGCAAGCCCTGGAGCTTTCAGATGGACCTTGTTCTCTCCCCGGCTCCCCAGGGGGATGTCCAGAGTCCCAGGCAGGGATAAAGTTCCTGCCATGCTGTCTGGGGACAAGACCCTCTCTGCAGGTCCCCCCTGTGGGATGGGGGACCTCCAGTGTCTATCACAAGCTTCATTTTGTCAACATCCATGTGCTGTGTTAGAGCTGGCAGAGGTCAAGGCTTTTTAGAATCATAGGTTTATTCAGGTTGGAAAAGCCCTCTAAGACCATCGAGTCTAACCATTAACCCAGCACTGCCAAGCTCATCACTAAACCATGTCCCCAGGTGCCACATCTACACATCTTTTAAACATCTCCAGGGATATTTAAAGGTGACTCAACACTTTCCCGGGCAGCCTGTTCCAATGCCTGACCACCCTTTCAGTGAAGAAATTTTTCCTAATATTCAATCTAAACCTCCCTTGGCACAACTTGAGGCCATTTCCTATTGCTTCTTAACTGGGAGATGTCTTGTTACCTAAAGTTATCTGCTTGTTACTTAGAAGGTCTCTGGGTTGCCTGTATGAGAGGAGAAGTACTCCCACCACAGGGAATGGAACCTCAGGAGTTCCCACACGGAGGTAGGGAGAGCTGTGGTCCTCACCAGTGCTCAGATATCATTTTTCAGTGGTTGGCTCTGCTTTTCCTCCCAGGCAGAGCTCTGCAGAGTGCTTCGAACTTGGCTGTTCAGGAGGGGGGAAAAATAGGTTAGCCAAGTTTTTTATCCAGACTTATCTGATGTTTTTGCCTGCTTTGCCTCTTCCTGACTTCCTCGGCCTAAGAAAACAGCTGCCTTTGGCCTTCTAAGGGGAACTTTTATGTAATGCTTGAAAAAAACAACAAGAAAGCGAGTGTCTTATTTTTAAAGACTCAGCCGAGGAGACACGTTATCGCAGCTTCTCCATCCCCACTGCCTGCAGAGCTGTGGCACCGAGCCAGCACTGCTCCTCCTTCAGTTCATTCCCAAATCTGCTGGGAGAGCTGAAGGCTACTTTGGTTTTCCATTGTTCAGGTTTTCCTGCAGAAGATCTTTTACTTAATGGAAAGGGCCTTCCTGCCTCACACGCTGTGTGACAGGTTGCACAGGCTGTGGTGGCCTCTGCTCCAGCTGGGGAGGGGTTTCTTCTTCCACTGGTTCCTGCCTGGAGCAGGTTGCCCAGAGAAGCTGTGGCTGCCCCATCCCTGGAAGTGTTCAAGGCCAGGCTGGAAGGGAGCTCCAAGCAACCTGGTCTAGTGGAAGGTGTCCCTGCCCACGGCAGGAGAGCTGGAACAACATGTTCTTTAAGGTCCCTTCCAACCCAAATCATTCCATGATTCTGCGAACTCGGTAGAGCTGGGCACACAAACAGATTTGTGCCTCTGATGCTGAAAAGGATGAGATGTCGACTGTGAGAGAGCTACACTGTCTTCCTTAATATTTACTTTGCAGAGATGCAAACACTTGAAGGAAGAATTTTTCACCGCAAGAGTTTTCCAATGCTACAAAGTTTCAGTGCAGGGAAACGGAGCCATCAAAAGCATGTTGGATAAGTGTGCAGACAAAAATTGCGGACTTGGTCAACTGTCTGTTTTCACAGTTTAGGTAAAGCATGTGCTCACTACCTTGGTGAGGTCTCTGGTGGCTCCACAGGACGTGGGTGAGCGCATGGGGAAGCTGAAGAAGGGGACCGGCAAATTCCGGGGACAAATGATAAAATGCAGTTGAAAGAACTATTTGGTCTGATCAACACCATGATGCTCATCTTTCCATGGATGTTGCAAGGGGTTGGTTTTAACATCAACAAGAAGACAAAATAC